ATCCCCACGCCACGCTTCGGCTGCGCCTCCCAAAGAGAAACAAACCCCACTCGGCTAACGCGGGAAAAGAAGGAAATCAGTCTTTGAAAATTATATTGCTCATTCATTTTCCTGGCTGGAGACAACTTCTTAATGCCAGGTAGGGTTTTTTTTAAGCAATATCACTGTTTCGTTTCAAATCTCTCTTAAACGACTCCTGAGTCACTGCGATAAATACTCCCTGCGCTTCCTTTCTGCTTCAGATCCGCTGTAACTGCTGATGGATAAATTGCTCAAGTTACCCGGGATAAATCACGCAGGATAGCCAAATCTGTAATTAAAATGTCCCTCAGCCCCTCTGTTAATTCTGACTTAGAGGGACCAGATGCATTGCGGCTGCAAGGAATAACCCGATTGGGGTCCGAAAAATGGGCTCTGGGAGGAAGAAAATGGCTCTGAAAACACTGACTACATGCGGTTCCCTTGGAAATACCATGCTGCTCTTCAGCCCCCATCAAAAGGACCTGGGCACCAAGATCAATGGCACAAGGGAGGGTTTTTCAAGGGCTATTTTTTCTCAAAAGGAGCTTTTGAGGCCGTGGAAAGCAAATTCCCTGAGCAGAGCTGGCACAGAGCTGGGTGGTTTCTCCACCCCAGTCACTGCGCTGGAAGGAAAAAGGGAAATAAAATAAAACCTGGTTGTTCACAACAAAACCTGGATTTTTACACTGATTTAAATCTTTTTTGGATGTTGCTTCCCAGGAAAAGCTACAAAAAGAGCTAGAAAGTGATTTTTTAAAATTCCCTCTGCCTAAGACGAGCTTCACTCCAGGCTCACAGCCCTGGCCTGGGCTGAGCAGCAGGCAGATCCAGCCCGGGGGGTGTTTCAGGGCTCCGCTTTCCCCTGGAAAGTCAGGTATTATGTTTGCAGTGGCCTTAAAATCAGAAAGCAGCTCAGCCAGGCTGCTCTGAGCTTTCCAGCTGAATTCGGGTCTGGCCTGGCAATTTTGAGGCCAAGAATTGGGTATTTGGAGGCAGTTGTAGGAGCCGGATCCTGCTCATCCTGATGAAAGGCACATCTCCCCATGGAAACAAGCCCCTGTAGAAAACAGTGACAGTGCTTCCTGCAAATCCTTCATCTCTGGAAAACAAAGCTGGCCCATGTTGCAGAGCAGGGGCACCCATGGGTGCTGGGGCAGTTCTTGGGTCCAACCCACCCCGCAGGGTTTCCAGAGCATCCCTGCTGCCTGCAGGGACATGGCCCCATCTGTGAACGGGGACAGGAAAAGGGGACAACAGGGACAGACAGCAACGCCACTCCTTGCAGCACTACAGGGGCATCATCCCATCCCATCCCATCCCATCCCATCCCATCCCATCCCATCCCATCCCATCCCATCCCCCAGCCCATGCAGTCCTCACGGGGAGGCAGCAACAAGGCTCAGCATCTCCATCCTCCCTGCCCTCCATAATTAGGTCAACAGGAGAAGCAGAAGCTCTTTATTTATTATTGATGAGGAGAATCAAGCCACCATCGATCGGTGCTGGGGAGAGACTCGACCCAGCGCTTTCTGAAATAACCTGCCAAATGAGATTTTTTTGTTGTTTTTTTTTTTTAGCCATTGAGGCTGCTTGGATAAACTCGCAGCCTCGCCTGCTCCCAGGAGGGATGACAGCAAACACGAGCGAGCTCCGGCAGCCGAGCCGCTGCCAGCTCTTAGCGCCAGGTCCTTCATGTTCCAAATCCCTGTTAAATCCCACTTTTACGGCAGCCAGGTTTGCTGTTATCTGGGAGTGGAGAAGGATGCTGGGGCTTTGGGGGGATGCTGGCACCATCTGAAGATTTTTAAAGATGTCCTGGACCTGGGGAGAACTCATCCTGCTGCCCATCAAGGAGCTGGGAGCAGTTAAGGGCTTCGTTCCCCCAGCCCAGCATCTGGGGGCTAAATAATACTAATGGTACCTAAAAGTACCGGTACTAATGGTGCCGGCACTTCAGGCTATAGATCAAAACCCCTCAATGAAATCACCATCCATCCCCTTCCTAACCCGAGTTTGGTACCAGCACACTCTCCCTTGCCTCGCTTTTAGAAATATTTTTCTATTGAAATGTAGAGCCTGGCTCCATGCCCAGGGAAGGACAGCTAAAAGTAATCCTCCACAGGTGATTTAGGAAGGTCCCTTCCCCGGCGGCCCCCATTGGACCCCACTCACATCCCGTCGCTGGGATTAACCAGCCTGAATTTCAGAGCAATTGCAGAGAGATGACAAAATCCCTTTGGGATTTTGCTCTTTGTTCTGCTGCTCGAGCTATTAAAATAAAGAGGGCTGAGGGCAGGCATCTCCCCAGCGCTGGAGTGGTTTTCTCCCCGCGCCGAGTGATGGGCGAGGGCAGCACGGTGCGAGGTGCTGCAGTGGCAGCAGGGGATGGAGGGGGCTGGGCTGAGGGGGGGACATAGAGGTTTTGCTCAGGGAATTTTGATATTTAAACTAATCATGGCCAAAGCTGCATCCCAGAGACCACGCTGAGCCTGCAAAGCACTGTCCAAAACAACCCCCAAATTTATTTGTTAAGGCACAAAAAACCCTTCAGATTCTAGATTTTAAATAACGTTAAAAACCAGCAGAGGAGCCATCAAGGGGCACAGCAGGGACTCCTCCACCCACCGGAGCGGGACTGGGGACAGGCCACCCTGTTTGCGCCAGCAGCTTGGGTGCCCCCATGCACCCCAAGGATGCGCGCGGGGGCAAAGAGCCCCAATCCCCCAGGAAACACGAAGGCTTGACCCCATGCACCGGCCAAGTTCGTCCCCAGCAGTGCTTTAGCCCCCAAAGCATTGGCTTTGTCACCATGGGGAGGGCAGGTGGGCTTCACCTGGCCAGCAGGTCCCCCCCAAGCCCTGCCTTTCAATCCCCCCCTCAAAAAAGTCTCCCAGGTTAATTTGAGGCAGGGAATAAGCCCCCCAATGGGATTTTCCATTTAAGGCAAAAAAAAAAGTCCAGTGGGAACCAGAGTGGTGCAACGTGAAAAAAATAATCGTCCCCATACGTCCCAGGAGCAGAGAATCCATCAGGGCAGAGAGCACCAACTCTGTCTCCCCGTTCCCTGGGGGTCCCACGGGTCCTATCTGTCTTCCCAGAGCCTCCAGGGCTCTGTCGGTCGCTCTCAAGGACCTCGCTGAGCCCATCAACCCTCTCGAGGCTTGCAAAGGGCACTCAAATTTGCCCTGGAAGGCACCTGGAAGGTGGCTGGCCTGGATGCGGCCACGCAAGAGTGGGCACAGAGGGTGCCATGGGGAATGGTCAACCCCAGTGGCTCTCAGCCATACCAGGGGACGGACAGACAGACAAGGAGGAGCCTCCTCCCCACACAGGCTGTCCCTGGGAAGCAGGCACTGGTCTTCAGGGCTTGCCAGGGATAGAGATGCAGCCTCTCTCCAGCCCCAGGGCGCCCCGAAGGCACAGCTGGGGTGGGAGGAGGGTGACAGGGCACGGGACACAGGGTGGCAGCACGTCCAGGCCCTCCCCAGGGGACCCAGAGCTCGTCCCCACTGGGGACATCTTGGCTGGTCCAGGTCACAGGGTGCTGTTTGGGGGTGTCCCAGCTCCTGTCAATCAATTTCTTGCTCGTTATCTGGTGGTGGGGGGAAACAGAAGAAATAAAAATTGGCAAATACTTTAAAAAATAATAATAATCCACAGGTCCAAATTAATGAGCTAATTTTGTCATTGGCAGCTCCCAGCTCTCCCTGCTCTGGAAAACCAGGATCACCCAGCAATCCCCTCTGTGCCCAGGGCTGATGCACGCTCCGGGCAAATACGACCAGGCACATGTAGGTGTGTTTTTATCCCTCCACCCATCCTCCTGGCTAGAACCCCCCTGCAGCAGCAAACCCTGGGAGATGTTGTTATTCAAGCTTCATTTCTGCTGAAAAAACGGGTCAAGGAGCAAGCGGGAAATGTCTCACACATGGGGTTAAGCAAACAGGCTGCATCGGAGATGGAAAGCCAACGGGCTGAGAAGCTGAGCACGGTCTGCAGCCGCTCGCAAGGGGGAGATAAGGGCAGGGAGGAGGGGAAGAAGAAAAAAAAAAAAAGGGGAAAAGCAGAGCCAGTTGATGCAAAGGTGTGAAGGGGAAGGGAGAAAAGGCTTTTATAAACCTAGTGGGGGGAGGTGTGGGGGAGGAAATGGCATTAGAGAAAAAAACGGGGCTGTTAATAAAAGAGGAAGGGAGGGTTAAATTAGCAGCGATTCACCAGCAGCAGAGGCCAAGCCTCCGCCCTCAGC